AAAGCTGAAACTGAAAAAACAGAAGAAAGAAGCTGATTGGTTGCTTCAGATTCTGTCTGCTCCAGAATTAGTGAATTCTCTCGTTGTGTTAAAAGCACCAAAATGCACTAAAAAGGTGCATGTACTATTTTTTTGTAACCGTAAACCACAACACATGTTGGTGTCTTGTAATGCACTGCAACACACATCCATTGGCATGGTGCAGTGGAACCCGAAGTGCACAAACTCACAAAATGTGTGTTTTCACACGTTGACACATAGCAACAGTGTGAAAACAGCCAACTGGAAAAAAAAATGTCTCTTATTGAATAGCAAGCCTGTACCTCGGTTACCACACATATTTGCATTTTTAAAACATTAGAGCCCCATTGTTTTCACTTTTTAAAGGGTCATTCACTACACTGGTGTATTGTTCATGTCCACCACTTTTTCCATATACACTGTTTACTAAAAGGGATGGGATTATGGAAACTGTCAGTAAAACACCTTCCTCCCAGCTCAATCAGCTGTAGTCAGGGAATTCCCCACCTCTTTGTTATTTGTAGCTGCAAAGTTTTGTGTCGAAACACCACTGAAAATTTGTGATAACTGGGTTGCTTATTTTATGCTGGTAGCAGGTTTTCTTTTTATCATGTCTGTACACATCAGTCCATGCCCTCAAGGAGCTTACAATCTAAGTTCCCTATCTTGCATACATATAATGTCAATTTAGACAGGAGCCAAATAACCTACCAGCATGTCTTTGGAGTGTGGAAGGAAGATTAAGTACACAGAAGAAACCCGCGCAAGCACAGGGAGAACATACAAACTCCTTGCAGACAGTGTCCTGACCAAATATAAAGCAAATATGTTGTGCTCAGTCTATGTGAACCAACTACACACTAGAGTGTTAATAAACAAATCTGTGTAAAATTACGACAATCCGTGTGAAAAATTATTGATACAAGTGAATTATTTACATATGACTAGAAGGTTCAACACACAAACATAATAAGAAAAATAAAAATCAACACTGGAACCTTCAGAATTAGTGCCAGTGATCAACCTCATTGGTTCAGCATGTATATCTCAAACATGTAAACCTCTGGCTAGCGATGTAGTAAAACAACACAGAAAAAATAAATTGAAACCGTGATATGGGCTATGGACCCGCTGATCGCCTATATGTGAAACACCCGGTACCGGGTGTTCGCATTGGACGGGTCTTTTCTGCCCGTGCGTGCCCGCTAGGGGGCGCGCACGAGCAGAAAAAAAATGCCGTCTGGCGACGGCAACCCGCCAATGCAGCAGTGCCGTCCGTCCGTTTTTCTACTACGGGCGGACGGCAAGAGGTTAAAAAGGTCTTTTAAGTTCTGGTTTTCCAACCCCTTCTAATGTCTCCTTGTCAAGTACCGGCGTGGATTTCTCCTTCGGTCACCTGAATGGCGGCGTTCACCTAATGGTGTCCCACAGGGAAAAATTGAAGGACCAAATTTCTATTTTACCAAATGTAAAATAGAAAACCAGCTGCACTCCTTACCAGAACAATGGAAGCCCTGCAACAGCAGGTGGGTGCTTGTAGCGACCACGGATGGCACCGTGTATAGCACAAGAGTATAAAGTAAATGTCACCAGCACACCAAAGTATTTCAGCAAAAGTCAGTTTATTTACTATTATGTACCAAATGACGCCAATGCTGGGAATTATTAGTTTATCTACTGATACCAATGCACAATATTTTTATTGCACCCACTGACATCAGTGATGTTTCCCAACTCTCTTCAGTAAACATTTATTTTGAATGGGCTGCCTAATTTGATGCAATGCACAAAAAGTGCTGCTATTGTGCAGCCCTCTGGAAGTGTCAGAGGCCAAATTTGAGGCCCTCTAAAAAAATTGTTTTAGATTTAGTGAAGGTTCATCAAAGGTTTCATGAAGATTGTAATGATTGTAAAATTAACAATCAATAGCAACCTATTTTTGTGTCATTGTTGTGAGTTGTATGATTTCAGGGATTGGTTGTATTTGGCGTTCACATACATTTTGAACAGCAGCAGATATGTTTTTGATTGTGTTTGGGCACTAAAAGATTGTATTGTTAATAGTTCTTTAAAAATATTGTATACATCAAATTATATCCAGCAATTTGAAAATCTTTTCAGCAGATATCTTCAATTTATATTGCTTGCCAGGCATCTTAGAGCTGCTGTGAATGAGCTAAGTGTGTACACTGCACAGTGCATGTGTTATACAGTATACACAAAACAATAAAGATCTTCCTGGAGTAAGATGGAGAACTTTTTTTGGCAGAAGAGACTTTGCATGTCTGTTCTGCCAATAATCTCTACCTCCTAGCAATTATTTTTATTTTATAACTTCAAATGGAATCCCTAAATCTAATCTTTACCCTTAGCAGAACCCATAAACTTCAACCTAAACCATTTCAGGATTTAAGCTTAGAAGCAAACCTAATATTGATACCGTAAAAAAATAAAAATAAACTGTCATGCCAACAGAACATCAATGTTTTAAAATTAATTTTTAAAACATTGTGAGTCTAACACATCATAAATAAAAATAAAAATGGGTAGCAAATAGGTTAAAACAGGAAACACAGTTTGCTTTGTATGTCGCACACTTTTATTGGACTTCTAATAAATAACCTATTTCAAGAACTGTGGGGTTCGAGGTATCCTCACAGGTGGGTAAGATTAATGTGTGTTATATTTCTATTCTTGCTAAAGAAACAGAAGGTGGCATGTATGTAGTATTTGTGTTTGTCTTTGTTCCATGTATGCCCCCTGCAGTATTCTGACAGAACTTCTTGTAGCTTGCAGGACACATATGACACCATGCCTTGGAGGCCCACTTATCTTCTGCCTTTGCAGTTGTACCTCCAGTCTAAACTCCATGCTTGGTTACTGCTATAATTTTGTGAGGTTGCTCTTTGCAATACCATGGATTCTACTGCAGACTTTTATGTATAAATGCTACTTAGAATCATTGCTGTTACAGAACTAATTCACATGTGCTAGCATCTGCACCGACTTGCCTTCATATGTCGGATGATCTACCGTGCCAAGTATCCAGTTTGTGCTACGGTAGTAATGGTAATCCATTGGACCTTGCTGTTATTGTGTAATCATTGAATACACTTCTATTTATATTAAGGATATTGTGCTGGTAGTAGCTGCATAACTTTTTAATCTCTCCAAGACTTCCAGATTATATGGCTCTGGATGTGAGATGACCCCTTTTTTAAATATTCTCACTAATTCATCGCTTGGAGTTCGGTAAACTATAGGAGTAGGGGTCAATTTTGGTATACACAATATTTCTTGAGTAAGAAACTATTTTGGCAGTGATGCTATATTATTTATATTTAATGTTTCTGCATAGTGATGTGTATACAGCATTATGCATTTGAGCATTTCATTGATATATGCATACTAGTCATATTATTTTGGTATTACTAAGGGGCTCATTTGTATATTTATCTGAGTGTTTTTATAAGTGTTAATAAATATTCAGTTGTAATTAACTACTTCAGCTCTCGCACTTAATCCCTATTGACTAGAACCGTTTTAAAATTTTTGCTATTGGCCTGTTTATTCAGCAGTTCATTTTTCATTACATAAGATAACAAAGTGATACAACTCCCTCCTCATTGGCCTACCTTTAAACAGGCTATCCTCCCTTCAGTCTCTCATTAATGCAGCTGCCAGACTCATCCACCTAACCAAACGCTCAGTGTCTGCAATCCTCCCACTGGCTTCCACTCGCCCAGAGGATAAAATTCAAAATATTAACAACCACTTACAAAGCCATCCACATCTCTGCCCCCGGCTATATCTCAAACCTTGTCTCAAAATATCACCCTAACCGTTCTCTCCACTCTTCAAAAGACCTCCTGCTTTCCAGCTCCCTTGTCAACTCATCCCATGCTCGCCTCCAAGACTTCACAAGAGTCTCTCCCATCCTCTGGAACTCTCTACCCCAACCAGTTCATCTATCTCCCACACTGACTGCCTTTAGGCGATCCCTTAAGACTCATCTCTTCAGGGAAGCCTATCCCACCGCAACCTAACCCCTGAAATATAAATGTCTTAAATAAGTCATCCCCACACAGCCACCTCCTCATGTATCACTTGCCCCTCCCTTGTAGATTGTAAACCCTCATGGGCAGGGCCCTCCTTACCATCTTGTCTTGAATTATATTGTGATTGTAATGTCTTCCTTATATTGTGAAGCGCTGCACAAACTGTTGGCGCTATATAAATCCTGTATAATAATAATACCTTTTTTTTAAAAAAGGCTGTCTTTTTTATGATATTAAATAAAAAAAAATTTGTAGATAAAAAGTCCTGTTTAAATGTATGCTAAAATTATGATTCTAGTACAAAGTATTACAAAGGTATATACAATGAAAATAAAGGCTTTTGTTTCAATTTAATACAGCACTCGAGAAAATGAACATAAATAAAAATAATAGCTTAGGGGGTAAGAAGGAGGAGTTATTAAGATAAACTAAGGTTAAATAGGAGCAACTTTTATTCATTTAGGTTTTTTTGATTTAGGGATTTATTAATTTATTTACTTGTCACTTGCTTTAACTTAAAAATATTTAGAATAAAGTTAATCTCTTTGATCTGCAATGAATAAATACAAAAGAACTCTTGTTGATTTGTGCCTCAGTGTCTATCTTGAGTCAGAAGGTCTGTTTTTTGACAGCTGTCATTTTGACAGCCAGGAATTGCTGGCAAATGTGAAGAGGGAGCATGCGAAGGGCATGAGCTTATTATTATGTATTTCATAATAAGATTATAGTTTGTTTTATATGACACACATATTGATTTAATATTAATACTTTAATATATATTGCCCATTATCAGCCATACTTTCTCACTTTAAATTAATGTATAAACATTGCAATGATACCAAAAATATATTGCTTTACTGTCTTTTCAAAAGTCTTCTCAAAATTATTTTTTTCATCCTACTTTTTTGGTTGGCTTCACAGAGCAGCCTTATGCTAAAAGGAGTTGTAAAACAGACTTGGACACAGGAGGTCAGGTGCAATATAGTGAATTCAATCTTTCCATTACTTTCTGAAAGACAGGACCTACGACGTGAGTGGAGTGAAAGGTAAGAAATACAGTTTGGTCACTTTATTTTCGCTTATCAGATTATTTTAATTATCTATTTGCAGTCTCTTGTACTATTCAGATATAATTATTCTCATTGTGAATTTTTAGGTAAGAAAGTCTAATGACATGATGTAAGACACCCCCCCCCTTCCCCCGCTCAGACTCACCCTTCCAGGAGCAGCAGCCATGTGTCGATGTGTGCACTCACTGCAGGGGGCGGGGCGGGGCGTGTGACACACACACGTCTCCTGTGACTCACCTCCCCTCCCGCCGCCTGTTACTATAGACGCGGGCGGGAGGGGAGGTGAGTCATAGGACCCACCCCCTCACTGTGAAGCCCGTCAGCAGTGCGGGGCCCCGGTGTTCGAACACCAGGACCGTGCACTGCCATATATTGCATGACCGGACCGCACTGAAACTGTGCGGCCCGGTACCATTTGATCTGTGGACTGTTACCGGTCTGCAGACCGGGGGTTTGGGAACACTGATCTACAGTACATAAAGCTGCAGAATCCATTTTTACAGGAATAATCCAAACATATAGGAACAGTTTGCAGGCAATCCATCCTTGCACAAAATAATGTGAATTGTGTATGCAGCATAGTTTAATCTTTTTAGATGATGTTCTTGAAATAATATTAAAGAAAACATACTATAGGTAAAATTTTGATGACATTGTCAGCATCTGATAACCCTTCACAAAGTTTGACCCATCTATTTCTAAAATTTAGCTTTATTATTACCAATTAAAATCTGAATAGAATCCTAAATTGTCTTCTGTGGTATACATCTTTTTTGTTGTAATCTCTAGAACATGAAGACAGGGTCTAATTATTTCTAATTTCCTGAGCATTTTGAGGTAAGTGCTTCCTGACCTCCTCCACCTCTGGAACTAACAAGCCACAGTTGTAAGTTAGCAGCTTACATTTTTAGATTAATTTTATTTCAGATCCATCCATTTCACAGCAAGGAGATGATGGAAGTGTCATAAATCAGTGTTTTCTTTTATGTAAACCCAGCCATGGTGTCATTGTAAGCAATAGTAGTATGTTGTCTTACTTTGTGGGGTGTTGTTCTGATTCTTTTTTGCATATTGTACATTTTTTGCTTGGTATTCAACACTGTTATTATTGCCATGAAACTCACATATGTTTCTGTCTTTGGTAAACGTATTGCTCATCAATGGCAAAGAGTATTTTATATACATGATTATAATTGTGGGAGTATTTAATTGCTGTTAATATGTGGGTGTTTTTGAAAGTGTTTTGGGGTGTTAATGTTAGTATGTGTTTTGTTATTGTGCAGAGATTTGTGAATACAAAGTTTTATTTCAACAGTCCAGCAAAATGTGGCTTGTGTTTTTTTTGTTGGTATGATTAATAATATGTGTCAAAAAATGTCCTATGCTATCACCAACACCATTCTAAGATGCCTTTTTGCAAACCATTGTTTGAAAGAGTGGTTATTTGCACAGTTGTTTACTTATTGTCCTCTTAAACATAGAGGCATAGATGAGGTGGTGTGTACGTGGATAGAGAACTGGCTACGGGAACGGGTCCAGAGGGTATCTGTAAATGGCACCTTTTCAGACTGGGCTAGTGTAATTAGCGGTGTGCCTCAGGGTTCTGTGCTGGGTCCCATATTGTTCAACTTATTTATTAATGACATCGGGGAGGGTGTTAACAGCGATATTTCCGTGTTTGCGGATGACACCAAAATTGGGAGGGTAATAGACACGGACTTAGACATTATAACATTACAGGAGGACCTGGATAAAAAAGGGGAGTGGGCATTAATGTGGCAGATGAGGTTTAATGTCGATAAATGCAAAGTAATGCACTTTGGAATTAAAAATAAACAAATGGGTTATACAATTATGGGTATGCCGGGGTTATCACATTCAACTATTTTATATTTCAGTTGGGTTGCAATCATTAAAGTGATTATTAAAGTCAAAAGTGTCTGTGAAGGTTCTCATGCATCCAGTTAATGGTATACCTGTAAAAAATAAGTCAAGGCAACCAAGCTAGTAGAAGGCCAGCTGCTGGAGGCTTTTCTGTCCCTTGTGATCTTGTACTGGACAGGAAGTTCAGGAAAGCAGAGCTGAGCGTTGGAGTTAGCTGTTTGGAGACATGATGACTGTAGGTGTCTAGGCTAAAATGTTTAAAAAATAATTTGCTGGACAATGCATATAGATTCATTATTGAAAAAGTCTGAGAGTTTAATACTAATTTAATATAAAGGCGGATTGTTGTGAGTGATATTTATATGGCCTACTCTGCCCAAGAATCAAGCCAGAAATCTAGAAGTTTATATACAAAGCCTGATCATAAATGTAACCAAACAAAGCTTTGTGGTATATATTTGTGTAGTATATACTGTCAATTCAAGGTTTCACTATACATTGTCATTCTATTCTAGGGATTCCAATGCATTTTAATCAGTGTCTCTGAAATGACTTTATGCTTCAGGAGCCATTGCAGCCAGGGCAAGTCTTGGAGAGGCGTCTGATGACTCAGTCATAATAGTATAGTTTCTGGTCTTCCTAAGTAATTGCTACACAGAACTTTGAGTTTAAAGTCCATGACAAATGTAATAACTAAGAACAAATATTTGTTAATGTCTGAAACTAGAGTCTTGCAATAAAGAGCTAATGTCACCATGTAAGCACAGTCCTAACAAGTTGAGATACCTTGGATAAATACAATGTGGTGGACTTGTTAAAAGAAAGAGAGCAGAACTTCCTGACTTGGTCAGTTTGTTTATGGCAGGTGACAGCAGTTTGACAGACACAGCACTCAAGTGACTGGCAAAGCATTCATATTTTTTTTTTCTAAGTGACCCCTGCATGACCTGCTTGTGAAGGAAGTCATATGTCCATGGCTTCTACTTGTAATGTAAAGATAAGGTGAAACTCAACAGAGGAGTTTGTCAGTGTTTTGGGATGAAGAGTCTGTGCTTGTTCAGTGTGATGTAAAATTGCAGCAAACATATACAGGGTTATATACTAAAGGGTGAACAGTTTGGAGAAGGCAGGAGAAGGGAACAATCTGGGACAAAATGGCTGATTTGTAAAAAAATTCCAATTCAGCTCACTTTCCAAAGTCTGCTAGATTGTTCACTTTTCCTGCCTTTTCCAAACTCTTCACCCTTTTGTGAATAACCTTGATAATGATTTAATGTAGAGCCATAAATTTTTAGGTATATCATCTGATGCTGGGATTACTGGGGCTTCAGGTTCAAAGTCAAATATTTGTCCACCTGATCAATATTTGGCTGAAAATAGCTGAAATACTAAAGACATTTGCAAGCTTGCTTCAGATGGATCATTTCAAGAAATGTGGTCGCTTCCATTACGGATTCTGAAAATACTCTTCTTTATTCTTCATTACCTTTTGTGTCACTGACAAAGCAGAAGTATGACAAGTGAAGTCAGTACTTGTTCCAAAGCAGAAAATATTGAAGTCTTCATGACAACCAGGCAACTGACATTTTCAGAAGGTTAACAATGGTCACATTTATTTGCTTTAAAACATCAAACCCCAATTCCAGGGTCCTTTCCCTACTCTATAAAAAAAAGTGATTAGATTGCTTTACAAGAAAAGTTGTAATAAAGCATTATTTTGTGCTGTTCTTTTTTTTACGCTGTATTTCACCCGCAGGTGCAGGTTGTAAAGTGTGTGGTCTCCATGCATAAATGGAAACCAGAGAATAAACACACTCCGCAAGATACAAGCGATAAATCATGTGTGTGTTGATGCAAAATCAAGTGTACATCACAGCAAGCTCCCCAGACCAAAGAGCAAACTCCTTTAACATGTTTCACCAATGTGGCTTACTCATAGAGGTCACCTCTATGAGTAAGCCTTATCGGTGAAACGTGAGAGGGGTGTTGGCTCTTTGGTCTGGGGAACTTGCTGTGATGTACACTTGATTTTGCATCAATAAACACAGGATTAATTGCTTGTATCTTGCGGAGTGCTGTTATTTATTTGCATTTCTTATATTTTATTGTTGTGAGCAAACTGCCTTGGATATTATACCTTGAACATTTTTTAAAGGTTTAAAAAAAAAAAATCCCAGTTGTAAGGTAAGGCTAGTCCAACTTACCTCTTGGGTGTCCCATGTTTGTGTTTTACTCTGGCACTTTAAAAATTAAAGGTACCATTTTATGTTTTATTTATTTTTGATAAAGTGGGGAGGGGTTATTGATGGTTATATTTTTTTATTTACCTTCTGTCCTGGATGCAGCAGAAAAATGAGAGGACATCTCTCCAAAAAAGGTATTACCATCTTAGACAGTTGCCACTGGACACTGTCTTACTGACAATTGTCTCCAGGACAAATTGAGGGGTGACTTTTCCACCTGAGGAACCTCACATTATAACATAAGGAAGCTGGGTGTCACAATCTGGGGTGTAGATCCTGCTTATCAGTGTGGATGCTATCCCTGCGAGTGGAGTGTAAGAGGTAGCTGATGTACCCCCAGTGACCTTCTTATGGGAGGCTACCCCCATGTCATTAAAAATAAACTTACAAAGGAGGTCAGGTTTGGGGGTGATGAAGAACTGGAACATAAGAGAGGCACTGGGCAATAATAAATGCACACATCTCCTTAAAAGAAATAATGTGCATGCATTATTCTTTAACATTGGAGCCAGTAAAGCATTGCAACTGTGAGCAGGTAGAAAGTAGAAACAGCCACAAGAGTGGAACTGAGACTCACAAGTAATTATGGGTGCTATAGTTAACTGAAGCTGAAGAAACAATCCACTTGCTGAGAGTACAGGTTCACAGAAAGCAGCAATGTGAGTAAGTAAGATTTGCTGGGATCTCAGTAACAAGTATAAAACAGCAAAGCTGGTCTGGCTTGTAGTAAGAAGACACATTGCTCGAATGCTAAGCAACAAGTGTGCTCAACTTTTAACAGAGAGGTTCAGAGCGGATTGGCAGGAAGCTGAGCAGCTTGGCCAGGAGGCACAACCTGGTGCCGAATCA